TTTTTTGGGGGGGGGGGGGGGGAGGCAACATAACTCAGAAACAAATTATGAATTATCCAAACATCATCGGTCATATCATATCTTCTGGCAATGAATAACATAAATATATCCACAGGCTATAGAAAAACTGATTTGGTAATGCGTGCTTGTGACAGGCATTAGGTGATGTGGGTTGGAAGTCTGACACTACGGGTCTGCTAATAGTAGCGTAGATAAGCCTAGGCATACCTAGTCTTAATTAACTTGAATAGAAGGAAGTAGGCTACAATGAAATTTTTCTTTGTCTTTGTACCCATATGTAAAGGTTTTCGGAAAGGTTCCATTAAGGTAATAACCCGAGTTTCATTTTATGCATTCACCATTATGTGATGTGAAACACTTCCCTGATACATATTCAGTATATCTGGGGCACCAATCTGCGTCAAATCATACCAAAAATCGAATTTGTGCAAGATATTGTTGATATAAACAAACACACAAAATTTAATAGCCTAATATTTTGACATAAACTGTCACCTCAATAGCGTTCACGATCCAATAAATTGTGATGCATAACTCAAATTCCGAAAAATCTTCAAATTCAAACTTGATTAAGATCTCACTGTAAAAGATGATCACACCAAATTTCTTTTTAATTTCGCTATATATATAATTATGACGCGTTTTCCCTAAGTCAAGGGCAATAACTCAAAAACTTTTCATCGTCACCTTCGAACTTGACCAAGATCTCATCATTATAAATGATCACACCAAATTTCATATAAATCGGATGAAAACTGTAGTCTCTATTGTGTTCACAAACAAATTTTTACGGGATTTTCCTCAGTCAAGAGCAATAACTCAAAAACCTTTCATCAAAAGAACGCCAAAGTCGAACTTGGCCAAGATCTCATCAATATAAATGATCACACTAAATTTCATTAAGATCAGATATAAACTGTAGTCTCTATTGCGTTCACAAGACAAATGACGGACGGATATAGGCGGGCAGTGGCGACGACAATATACGACCACATCATAAAGTATAGCTTTACAAGAAAAACTGACGATGTAAGGGACACAACTCTTGTTAATTAATTCATCACGAGTTAGTGTTTTGCAGGTACCATATTACTAGACTACGCAAATAGATCGATTTCGGGATACTAAATGGTATAGAGGCAGTGATTAGCCAATGGATACAACATAAACAAGACGTTAGCGTAATGTTCTATCGATGGCACAATCTGAATTAGTCAGTGTAAGTAAAAACAGAACCCACATCGACAAATATAAATAATGTGCAAAGATATTTCATGGTGAAGTAACGCGTAAAAACTGAAAATGGATTTGATATATCACGGTTTTTAACGAATGCCTTTGTCACCTGCAACTTTCGTCTTTTTTGGTCAGATTTAAACAAAGGTTTTACAACTTATTATTTATCAGTTTTTCTACTGAAGTTTTGAACTTGCTATTTGAAAACCTGAAAATGTGACAGTGTTGTAACTCTTGTAGTAGAGAAAAGCTTAATGTATAATTTTCCTTATATATGGGACATCCTGAAAAACATTTCACTTCAGTTACTCATCTCAGTGATGCGTTTTTTTTTTTATATAAACTGGCTATCTATATATAATAATACTTTGGTAGATAAATGTCTGCTTTTTAAAAAACAGAAACTTCGATCAAGGCATAGATTCTGTGAGCGATCAATCAAGGTTCCATTATCAGAAAGTGAGAATTAAGCCCCAGCAAAACCGTCTTTAGTTCAGCAGAGATTGATTCATTTACAGTGTCTTTGTTCAAAATCAAAAAGATAGGCTATAGATTAAGATATGTTTTAGCAGCTCAAAACTGTCAGAAATGAGTTCTCTGAGCCTTTATTTCTTCAAATTCTGAACCCCAGCACCAATTCATTCCTGGTTACAGAACTTAATTTGACCCAACAAATGTAAAAAAAAGCCTGATTTAGAAAGCTATTTTTAATGTCTTTTGATAGCATAATCATTGGAAAGTTACGGAGCCCCTAAGGCGCAATTGTAAACATATTTATTTATTATTTCATTTAAACGATAAACGATAAATAATTAATTTGTTTAAATGAAATAATTATTTCGTTTTAACGAAATACACTATGTTTATTTCGTTTAAACGAATTAATTATTTCATCTATTTCGTTTAAACGAAATAATTAACCCATCTTTTTATTTCGTTTAAACGAAATAATAAATAAATATGTTTACAATTGCGCCTTAGGGGCGCTGTAGAAAGTAGATTAGTTACACAAATATTCATTTTTTCACAGATCAAAGTTTTGTTTTTTGCTAAAAGTCGAGAACTGGCTGGTTTGAAAGAAACAGTTCTATCACAGAGATCAAAAATAACTTCAAACGACCTATTACATAGTTTGATTGAAAGTTTCCCAGGGTATGTTTGTTAAATCATTTTTTACTTTTATTCAATGAATGTGTTTTAACAAAATAGATGAGAAATACTTAATTAATGCATGTAGTATGTACATGTAGTTGATAGTTTTCTTTTGTAAGAAAACAACATGAGACAGACTTTTAATTGATGTGTCTGAAAGGCTTGGTATCTATTTAATCAAAAAGAAAAAAAGACATGTTGAAATGTATTGTTTTGATGCAATTTTTGGAATCATGGCTGGTCTAGTTAACTAAAGAATAAATTATCTGTATTTTAATCAGATTTTTTTCTACTGTACAATTTTTGTTGCTAAATAACCACAGATCCTAGACTTCCATTTTTCTGACCAGTGGTAGGCCTATTATTTCATTTTAGACTAAAACCACTAAATATTTGGGTTAACGGATTAAAATATGTCTTTATAGGAAAAGACTTTCAAATTCAAATAGTAAAATCTGCCTCTGTACCTTTCTATTTCCTAATTTTTTTATATTTTTCTCCTGGATCTCTGAAGAACTTCACTGGTATGGAAATTAATGAACTACCGGTACTTATTATTGAAATTTCAGTCTAACTGCTCTAAGAGAGAATTTGGTTTTATCTTTAAATGAAGAATATTTAGAAATCAATGATCAGATGGTAGAAATAAAAACAGGAGATGAACTGGCAGTGATTCCACCAATTAGTGGGGGCTAATTAAAATTAACGAGGCTAAAAATTCCTCAAATTCAGATCAAAGGTGAGAAGTATTTTATTTAGTAGAAAAACTTGCTCACTAATTAGATATTTGTACAAATGAGAAAAACTTTGATTGCATACTTTGTGAGTGTTGTTTGTTAAAGTATACTGATAGATCTAGAAATGATGAGGGAAATTCAGTTTTTATATTGACAGATAAATAAAGGGTAATGAGCCATTTTGATTGATATTGCGTTTTGTTAAAAGTAAATATTGGTTCTTTGCATTATATATTGATTTGGCAGTTAATATTTACGCATGGGTTAACCTGGAACTAAATGGCTATTTATGGTTAAAGATGTAATTCCCTTTTGTTTTACTTGAAATTCTTCATAAGAAAACACCAAATGAAATACAAAAAGGAAAAAAAAGAAATTCTAAGTAAACACATATAATTTTGAAATAGCTTTATACATGATACCTATAAATAATTAAATATACTGATGGGACTTGCAAAATGAATGCCAAATTATACACAAATGCCAACAATAATAAGTTATTGTACAATTAGAAAGAGATGTAAAAGAGCAATGTAAGATTTCAAATGAGATGAAATTGATAAATGATATCATGTGACATTCGTTTGCATGAAATTAACTTTGATGGTTTTTAAAATTGAAACCCTGATTTTGTCAATGTTGAATTTTTTTATTTCATTTGTTTTAAGTGAGTGATTCAGAAATGGATCATATTGATATTATTGAAGGGAAAATTGATGTAAACTCTACTATAGACTTGGTTATTTCCCCTTCTTGTGGTGCTGTATCTACATTTCTAGGTGAGATTAGGTTGTTTTCATTCCCAAAACAGAATAAGGACAATAATTATAGTCTAGCTATCAAATTATTGCTTGATGTTAAAATGTGCTTTAGATAGTTTATTTTAATGTACATCTAGGCCATTTTAATACAAGTTTATAAGTTTGCAAGCAGCTTTTCGATAATAAAGTTAAGCAAAACCGTCTCTGAATTCCAGTACTATAATGTCTGTTGTAGCTATGAAGGGTATTATGCCTGGAATACTAAATTCAACTCAGCATAGATTTCTCTATATAGGTACAACTCGAGATAATTTTGATGGTAAAAAGGTTGTCAGATTAGAATATGAAGCCTATATTCCTATGGCTAAAAAGAAAATGTTAGAAATCTGTCAGTTGGTTAGAGAGAAATGGAAAGTTGAAAACATTGTAATGATTCACAGAATAGGGTGAGATAAATTCTATTGTACTGTTCTTTCTGTGTAGCCAAAATTAAGATTTTTTATTTCGAATAATACGTGTCAATGGACAAGCTAAAGGATTTTTCCTATTTAGTTTTATCAGTTATAAATATTTATATGTTGTATATTCTAGTTTAGTACCAATAAAAGAAGCCAGTATTATTATTGCTATATCATCACCTCATAGAAAGGAATCATTAGATGCTCTCCAGTTTGCCATTGATACACTGAAAGCTATTGTTCCTATCTGGAAAAAGGTAAATACAAAATAAGAACATATAATTATACCTTTGGCACCCACTTTCAAGTACATGCATTTATCAAAGTGTTTATAATTAGCAAAGGGTTCAGAAATATTTGACAAATAAGTTCTGTTTAAGCCAAGAACATAGAACTATAGAATTTATATTCTGAAAGATTTGTATTTCTGGAACTGAATGATTTGAATGTTGATAAATATCAAACAGTATTTATTTATGATTTAAAACAGGAAGTATATGAAGATGAAAGCACATCATGGAAAGAAAATAAAGAATGGTGTCATGGAAAGGTCCCTCAGCAATAAAATTTTGTCATATCTTAATTTGAACATGAACACTTTCTGTTTATCACAAGCATTGGTTCAGTATTACTATTGATATATGTAGGCCTATTTATGATTTTGACAATGAAGGTAAAAATTTATGATGATGATTTACTACATTATAATTATTATGTAGAAATTCTTATAACCTATACTGTATGATTGAGTTAGTAAATTCTGTTCCCATTATTACAGTAACAACAAATACATATAACAGAACATAGAAGTTCGAAACAGAACTCTAAACATGTTGTTACTCAAAGTTTTACTATGTCTCCTAGTCCCATTTCTATTTGCTCTACGATACATATACATGTACCTAACACACTATACGCAAAATAATTTAAGGGTTTATTTGTTGATTATTATTTATTTTATATGATTATATTTGTTGTGTATGGGAATGGTCAATGTAGGCTATATCAATTGTTTGGAAGAGTTTTTTCTTCAACTTCTCCATCAATAATGACCACCATCTGAAATACAACACAATATTCAAGTGATGTCCTGTGTACATCGCTGTAAAACTGAAATGTTCTAACATGATTAATTAATCCAGAATATTTTGATATAATTTTGTTCACAGTAGAGTGATTTTTAATTTTTTTGTGAATAAATGATAAAAATTGAATATTTTTTTTGTCTTTCTATTGAATGGGTTGTCTCCCTTTTGTCATTTTGTCTGACCATACTGTTTTGTTGCTCATTTCCATCCTCATTTTTAAATTCCACTCTGATGATATTGGGCGTTCAGTTGATTGATCTGGAAATTGAAAAAAGCAAAATTCTAAAGTATGTATGAAAGTATAACCCTTATCATTGGAGGCCAAATTTAAAGGGCCAGGTGCGCCATTTTGGGGGGTTTGATTTAAGTCTTGAATATACGTAAATAGTCTTCAAAAGTACCAGAAATGTATAAAAATCGCATAATTCGTTCAAAAATATCTCAAACTGTATTTTCTATATATGGCAGTGTCTTAAGAAGAGACGACTCTTAGTTCTGGACACATATGAATTTGAAGGCTCCAATTTCGACGGTGAGCGGTGAACACTAGTACTGATTGTCTGTTAAATTCCCGTTTCTGACGATTGGTGAAAAAATAAACTAAGCACTTTGTCCATGATATAGATCCCTGACAGTTGGAAGGTAATTTTTATCGCTTATCTGAGAAATTGCCCCCATTGGTGCTGCCTGTCCTCAATAGTCCAATCACTATAGAAAGTAGGATATTAAACTCCTTTCATTTGTCTGAATTCATTTTGCAATCTCTTAAGTGTATTCTCTGAATTGACTTAAGAATAAAAAAAGAACGATATCATAACGCTAGATCAAACGCTTAACTGATCTGATTTCAAGAAAACCTTGTTATAATTTGTTGTTTATTCTTCTCCTTTTAAAAACGGATTTCAGTGAGAAAGATAATCAAATCTTAGGTTCCATTGATAATAACATTTTCACTGGCTGTTTATTTCTAATTATTATCAGAGCAATTAAAATAAGAGAAAAGCCAACTTGAAGAAATGGATAAAAAGAAATTGTTGCAATTTATAGCCTTGAAAAACATGATTTTAATCATGTGGGTTTTTTCTGTTTGTATGTGATTTCCTGCCAACTGGAGTGTACAGGATGTACTCTAAAGAAATGTTATAAAGAAAACGGATTTCTAGCTTCTTATAGTAATCCTCAGATCTTTAAGATTTGGTTCGTGATTAGTTTGGCGTTGGCGAGTAAATAATATCTTGTTTACCAATATTTGATGGTTGCTTCCAGACTCATGATATGATTTCCTGTTATTTCTTTGTAATTTCGTTTGTAGAAAGACAGGCTCTATTCTTAAAATGAAATGTATTTGGATATTTAACTGTAGGATAATTGAAACTGGTTTAAAAAGTAATCCAATCTTAGTTGTTACTGTAGAGTTGTATTAAGAGCGACTATGAGTCTGAAAATCTTAATTCTTCTGTGGGTCTGTGTGATTAAAATCCGGCTACAATACAATATTGCTTATTGTTATTCCTTTAATGGTTTCTAGTATAGAAACATACAGCTGAAGTAAGAAAATCGATCAAAAATACTACCAAAGTCGCAAAAAATACCCGACTACCAGCAACACATGCAGCAACATCCTATTGACGTCAAGTACCTTTTTTCTACCGTCGATGCCTCTCGACCAGCAGTCATTAGCATTCCAGTTGTTCATAGATTCTGTCCTGATCCTCATTTGTCTGGTGGCTAAATACCAGATTTTGATGAAAGTATGTTTTGGGAACATACAATGTTTTATTTTTTTCTTCTTCAGAAAGCCCTTCTGAATACATTTCCTCCTAGTGCCACTTTGGCACTCTTGAGGAAATTTTTTTTAGGGACCCAATTAAAATTGGCCACCGACCTCGATATTTCAAATACTATTTCTGTCATAACTTTGCTTCTAGGGAACCAATAGAAGTTTTGGTGTCAAAAATTATGTTTTCTTGGTCAATGAATTAATGGTTTTTAAGCACTGAAGAACAAATTATTATCGCGAAAATTAAATTCAAACATTCAATACTCAGTATGTATCGTCAGAGGTCCCGTATAATTTTACACATTGTAACTTTTATCCACATAATATTTTCATAAATTCTGTTGTTGGTAAATTTGCCATTATTGGTGCCCAAAAGAAATATTAGTACTTATAATAAACCGTCCTACAACACCTCTTACCAGCAGCCCCGCAACATCCCCTATAACAAAACTTTCAGCAGAGCTATAGAGACTATGGTAATTTTAAACCTATCAGATCTATTTGAAATACAATATACAAGGCCATTATATTCGATTGAATGCATGATGTACTACCAGTCCTTAAACATCCCCTAATGATAAACAACACAATAACATCCTAAACTACAAGTCCAACAACAGTTCCCCTTACAACACCCCCTTCTACCAGTCCAACAACCTCCTCTGATACTAGTCTTACAATATTGCATACTACCAGTCCAACAACCTCCCCTGATACTAGTCTTACAGAATTGCATATCACCAGTCCAACAACCTCCTCTGATACTAGTCTTACAACATTGCATATCACCAGTCCAACAACCTCCCCTGATACTAGTCTTACAGCATTGCATATCACCAGTCCAACATCCTCCTCTGATACTAGTCTTGCAACATTGCATATCACCAGTCCAACAACCTCCCCTGATACTAGTCTTACAGCATTGCATACTACCAATCCAACAACCTCCTCTGATATTAGTCTTGCAACATTGCATATCACCAGTCCAACAACCTCCTCTGATCCTAGTCTTACAATATTGCATACTACCAGTCCAACAACCTCCACTGATACTAGTCTTACAATATTGCATACTACCAGTCCAACAACCTCCCCTGATACTAGTCTTACAACATTGCATATCACCAGTCCAACAACCTCCCCTGATACTAGTCTTACAGCATTGCATACTACCAATCCAACAACCTCCTCTGATATTAGTCTTACAACATTGCATATCACCAGTCCAACAACCTCCCCTGATACTAGTCTTACAGCATTGCATATCACCAGTCCAACAACCTCCTCTGATCCTAGTCTTACAATATTGCATACTACCAGTCCAACAACCTCCTCTGATACTAGTCTTACAACATTGCATATCACCAGTCCAACAACCTCCCCTGATACTAGTCTTACAGCATTGCATATCACCAGTCCAACAACCTCCTCTGATCCTAGTCTTACAATATTGCATACTACCAGTCCAACAACCTCCCCTGATACTAGTCTTACAGCATTGCATACTACCAGTCTAACAACCTCCCCTGATCCTAGTCTTACAACATTGCATATCACCAGTCCAACAACCTCCTCTGATACTAGTCTTACAACATTGCATATCACCAGTCCAACAACCTCCTCTTATATTAGTCTTACAACATTGTATACTACCAGTCTAACAACATATCCTACTACCAGTCCTTCATAACATCTCCAGTTCAACAAACTACTTGAGGTAGGACTGGTAGTAGGCGTTGTTGAGGGACTACAGGTAGGAGAAGTTGTTGGACTGAGAAGTAGGACTGAGTTGTGGGACTGTTAGTGGGAGATGCCGACGGATGTTGTTGGACTGTTTAACATTAGATGTTGTATGTTTGGACTGATGGAAGGTAGAAGAACTAGTAGTAGGCACTATTGATGGACTGATATTGGGTGATGTTTTGGACTGCTGGTGGAGATGTTTTGGACAGATGGTATGAGATGTTGTTGGACTGTTAATTTATTTTACTGACATTTTCATCAATGTGAAATGCGAAGTTATGGGTTACGATGTAAGGGACGATTCTTACTAAGTATTAATTTTCGCGATAATAACCTGTCCACATGGGTTAAAAATTAAGTCCTTGACCCAGAAAACACATATTTTGACGCCTAACATATGTCTATTGGTGGCCTAAAAGCAAAGTTATGACAAAAAGAGTATTCGGAATATCGAGGATGGTGGCCATTTTGAATTTGGTCGACAAGAAAATAAAATAAGGGCACATGGCGGAAATGTGTTCAGAAGAGCTATCTGAAATGGAATAAAACAATAAAACATTGTATGTACTCCAAGATACACTTTGGTGCTCGTCTTACTTTGTGAGGATGTCAAAGAATGAAACGAGACATGATTTTGTTACGCTTTGTTTATTAATTTTTTCACAACATAATTTTTGTTGTGCATGTTGAATTCTCATGATTCGTTGGTAGTGGCATCAACTATTGTCATCATTATTATTACATTATTATTGTAGTCTATCACACTATTATTATAAATCATTATCACAGCTGGCTACATTATATAAAGATAAGTAACAAAATAACATGTTCTGTACCTTCCCATCAGTTTTCGGTACGTATATCCTTTCCATGTTCGATCAGACTAGAACAAACCTCCTGAAGTAATGAAATGCCAAAAATTCGTTCATAAAGTGAAATGGAAACATTTGTCCTTTGGTTCAGTTTAGGATATTTTTTTTATCCCTGCAAATATATTCTTAGCCTTGGTGTTGCTCGACGCTATGTAAACATGCATACAATAGCACAGCTGGATCCAAAACTCAAAGAAACCGTGATTCGATTTAGCAACACACCACACCTACCCAAGCGTTGTTCTGAGTCCGATATTGTGATGAGAAGATACAAGAACAAATGATTGAAAACTAACAAACTATTAGCAATGTAGAAACCATCTCATTTTAATCTTAAACAAAACTTCCAGCAGAGCTATAGAGACTAGTTACGCGGTGGAAATCTCACAATCTGTTCTTTGCCTTAGCAAAGATATAAATAATTTTCACTATTCTAATTTATCCAACCCACCCTTAATTGTAATTATGAATCGCAGGCTAAAAATTCCAATCGATACCTTTCTATGGTATTTAACACTTATCAGATTTATTTGGAATACAATAAACAGGGATATTATATTTAATTGAATGCATGATGTATAATCATCTTAAAAGTCAAGCTTATACTTCTATTATTAGCTGACAAGGTTTGTTTCTAGCTTTCTGGACGAATATTTTAAGAAAAGTGTCGTTCGGCAATTCTCGTTTTTTCCGAAAAGCTGAATGTTTTAAAATTCCACAGTTGACTTTTTGGACAACAGATTCAAAGAATATCTCTTTGTAATACAACATTAACGTCGCCTGGCTGTAAATTGTGTTACGTTAACAGAAACTTTCTGTGCACCACAAGAACTATGCTGGACACAAACTCAATTGGCTAATAACCAATAATAGAATCAAGCCTAATTATAAAATGAGGAATTCACATTATTCATTCCTTGACCCTTAGCTTCTAATAATATTGCATATTACGATCACGATCATTCTTTATCTAATCATATAAAAATGATATGTCGACAAATATATTACATCTAAATGTAACTAATACAAATTTATCTTATATGAAAATTACTTCTAATATGAACATAACAATAACAGAATAACTAAAATAAACAGAACGACTGATAGTAAACATAACATCTACAATAAAATATTCTAAATAGAAATAAAACTTCACAAAACAATCATTGCACCTTGAAATAAAATAAATTTAATACTAAACAACAAACTGATTATAAAAGATTAATCATTCGGTTCGCTTTATCCAGTTTTGAATTCTGTACGCAGTAACTCATAGAAAAAAACACCGAAACGAAATTTACAGCCGTACTAAAATCAGTTTATAATAAATAATTTGAAAAACTATCAAAATTTGTAAGAAATATTGCGCTATAATCCTTGAAATACCATACTATATAACATAAAACATCTAAAATAGCACACAATTCATTCACTCAAAGTCTTATCAATATTAAAATCATTTCTGGCTGTATACTAAATACTTTTTCTAAAATATATATACATCTTATATATATATTTATATACAGGATATTGAAAATCTAGTTCTATTCCATTATCTATTATCCTAATAAGGAAACGTCGTAATATACACAAGGTAAAAAAAATCATATCAGGATGTATTTATTGGATCAGCTCCAATCTATGCTACATTGCTATTCTGCAGCATGAGGCCCATTTTTTCGAGAGTAACGTGTCAATGTTAAATATTACTTGACCATTCCTTTACAAAAAAGGACGTGAAAGACCTGATCAATTTCCATTACCAACAGATATAAAGTCTTTTTAACATTCGGACATTTGAAGAACACATGAAAAATGGTAACTCTGTTGAAAGGGTTTGGTAATTACTAATAGCAGCTATTCTTTATATCGATCCTCTAATTTCTAGTATTTCTGTGTACATTCAAGAGAGTTTAAGACAATTTCTGATCACGGCTAATTCAATTCATATTATCTCTAAACCTGCTGCAGAATATAATACGAAACTGACAAGGATGTTCAAATGATTTTGTATTTTGAATCTACAACAGTCAATTGTCGAACAGTTACGATCTCTCCTACACAAACATTCCTGCTCTGATCCATCTATCCATTGGGATGCAAGGTATCCAAGATCTTCTTAACAGCTAGGCAAACCAGCATTTATAAGATATCTTGTGACCTCTTGAACGGTGCACTTTATGTTCCAAAGAAATGTACTGCTTGCCTAAATGATAATCCACTTCATTTTGTTTTACCTTCTGGAGTAGTGGTCTTTGGGGACTCGGTCGTTGAATTAGGAGTAACATCCTTATCTGCTTTAGTTGCTGTTGCTGATACTGGTATTCCGGTTCGTAGTTTTGGGCCTTCTTCCTTATTGGTTTCCTGAACAGCTATGACTGCCGGTGAGGAGGATTGTGAGGATGAAGGAGGAGGAGAAGGAGAAGATTTGTTGGCAGAAATTGAGGAATGTGGTTCAGAGAGTTTCGTGACAGCAGTTGTCGGTGGTATGGGCTCTAATGTCACAGATGTAGTTACGGTTTTCCTTTCCGTCAACTTAATCATAGGAACAGTTTCAGAGACACTGCTTAATTTTGACACCTCACTTGGTGGTTTAGATATGTCTACACTTTTTTCGGGGGTCACTTGATTCTTTTCCACACTAGGAACTTGAGTAGCCTCCTTCGTAATTGGTTGAACCTTTTTAGTGTCTTTAAGTATAGATGTAGTCGGTTTAACGTACGTTTTGGGATGAGTTTGACCTCTGGTAAGGGGGGATTTGGGGGTTAAATGACCAGATTCTTTCATATGTGGCGGTCGTAATGACTTAGGGTCCATAACCTTTTTGAGAGACAAGTCTCTTGCTATTAAACTTATAGGAACTTCAGTAATCACAGCTTTAATGGTGCTAGTACTAGGACTATCTAACGAATTGCTTGACGTCAAAGATGCACTGCGTCTTTTCTTAGATGGTGCTTCTTTAGCACTATGTCTCTGGTGTAAACTGGGAGTTGTTGTTAATCGTTTTGAGTCTTTAACAACACTAGAATCTTTATCTCGAGAAGGCTTGACTGGATCTTCCGGAAGTTCTAAAAATGTCACTCCACCAGCGTCCATATTTTTCATAACAGATTCGAAACTAGGAGGTGGGTCTTCGTGGCTTGGAGTCTTGACTTCCTTTAATCGTTTTGGTCTCGAATGTCTAGTCGGTTCAAATGCCTTTAATATTTTACTGCCTAAGAAGCTTCCTCTCCTCTTATCATCCTCTTTATCTTGATCTTCATCCTCTTCTTGTAGCTTACTAGCAGCTAATCCTATAGCATCACCAACACTACCAGATCGTTTCCTGTCAGCTATGGGAGGTTTCAAACCGAAAAGATTCGGACCAGAAGGAACTTTGGGAAGTTTTCCCCAGATATGACTTGTATATTTATGTTCCGAATGAAAATCTATCAAATCACGATCACGTAAATTTTCGCGAGACTTTGATTTCTTTTCTTCGGTGATTTTGTGAAGTTTTGAACCAAAGTCAAATTTGAATTTCTTTTTTGGTTTACTGCCTTCTGAGCTATCATCACTCTCTTTCTCGTCATCCTCACTGGCACTAGTTGGTATTGGGGTGGATTCCATCACAATTTCATTAACTAATTTCTGATCTTCTTCTAAATCAGCACGACTACTGACGATGCTAGGATTTTTACCGATTTTGGTCAGTCTTTCAGCAGCCACACTTTCCATAGTTCTGCGCATAACAGGATATCGATCTAACACAGCGTTAAAATGGTGAACTGATAAAGAATACAGATTCACGTAAGTTTCAGCTCGAACACTGGCCACACGACGTGCATTCGTTAATAAACAAATTTCTGAAAGTAAGAAATAGAAGCTATTGATAGACATGCCTTGATTTGGGATGATTTGTCCATTCTGAATCTGTACCCTGCTAGATGATTCAATAATTACGGAACATTAATAGACTATTAACTCAGGCATATATTTTCAATATCAAGATCGTTATATGTATTCAAATTGTTATTTTCTAAGGTGAACAATTTGTTCCCATTGGTTATGAGCTATTTACCTCCAAAATAAGATCCATCAGAAAGACTTGTAGCAACTTCATTATCTGATGTAATAATATCTACTATTCCTTCTTGTATAAAATACATCTTAGTTCCAATGGTGCCTTCTTTTATTATATAATCACCGTTCTGGTAAACCTCAAATTCTAACTTACTTACAACCTCAGATACAAACTCGGGATCGGCATTGGTAAAAAATGGTACCGAAGCCACTAGTGCTCGACAGTTGTGGTTTATCACCTCCTGTAAATAAAAATTATTATATATTATTTGGGTATGAACTGTGCTCGTCAAACATATTGTAAATTGAGCCGACCACCCAAATCCCCAACTGCTCTATAATACTATTTAATCATGTTTATCGTTCGATAAGGTTCGCAAAAATAAATGGAAAACATGATGGTTTTGATAGGAACTTAGTGGCAATTGGCTCGCGGCGGACACCAGCACAATTAACGATATAGTACTAAATATTATGTATATTGGCTATGAGGACTCTAATAAAGATGCCGAGTTAGAAAATTCAGTTAAAAAGTCCCCGCTTCTCCTGTAGGTATCGACAGGCTTTCCATTAATAGGCGGATTTCCTCTATCAAGCAGTCACTACATTCAATGTGATTCTAATGGTTTCGTGCGCTTGCCAGTAATTGTTGAGGAAACTTTTCATTGATTCCATACAAAGTTTTAGAACTCAATAACCAGAGCTATATATGGAGGTAATTTGTGAAAGAACTATATAAAACTAATTAAATTTGATATGCATTACAGACAAAAACTCAGTTTTCAGTTTCACACAAATAATATCGATATCAAATTCTCCTTTAAAACAACTGATTTACCAATAGTCCAATGTGGCTTAAAAAGGATCGCTGGAATATAGGTTTTATGGAGATATTACACGCAATCTAATCAATATAAGAAGTGATTTATTTAAAAGTGAGCTGTGTTTTTGTTTTCTCTTCAAGATTCGATCAATAAACAAACCGTTGATCAGTCAGTTTCACGTCAGTTACCTTACCACCCTTACTTCGTTAATATTTAACCACCAACAACTTTCAAGACCTTTTCTCACAATATACCGTCTAGGTTATCCGAAAGTCATCTCTGATGTGTGACGTGAACAGACAACACTTTCTACGTAACTATCATACCATATATATGGATGTAATTCATTAGGAAAATGAATTTATGAACTCTTTTTTTCGAGATTAGGCCTATCCACACGTCTTTAAGATCAAGAATTATCAAACATATTTCAAGCTGAACTGAAAGGCTACGAGCTAGACAGAAAATCGTCAAACTTCAACCTTCCAGATTTCACAAATGGTATCAACCACGACATCCCTTCAGAGTCGGTGTTGTTCAGAACTAGGAATCTCATAAATTAGAAGAAGTAGTAACCCAACTGCACCTCTTGCAAATCTACAGCCATGCCAACGATAAAGAATATTCTAGAAACCTTGGTGTATATTTAAACAGGAAGTTCACAGATACCACATCCCAATACACTATGGTGGTTAAAATGACCTCATCTCCATCAGAATGTAGCAATTTATAAATAAGCTACATCTCTACACCTCACTTAACCAAGACTTATGATCTGACATGTTTATACAACCAAACCTTTGTTGATCAAATAAAACTCATTTATTTTTCAAATTGAAAGAACACCAGAGACCTGTCTAAACAATCTCCAGTGTGGTATTGAACTAAACATAGTTCACCTGATGTCATTTCATTTCTGTCGAACCTCACATCTCTTTAGTTTGCGATGGTAATTTTTCACAAGAGCAAGCTGCATCATAATGATATAAATAATGAATAATAGAATATTTGGGATGAAGTGGTCCCCGAAAACCACGCTGTCCACAGCCGCCTTTAAACCATAATCAATATCCTACGGATTCATACAAGTTCCAGATTTATTCAAATTCATGTCTTCATTTGGACAACCCCGACGTTAACATTGATTCATCGTGAACGCCTACACATTTAAAAAAGAAACCTAACAATACTGTCTCCAACCCGATTGTTTTTAAACGATATTAGTTCTTGAAATATACAATAAAATATATTCATTACTTCTTTACCGGAATCAAAACTCGCTTTTACGTAGAATTAATTGTCTAGACTTATGATTTGTAAGAGTAATAAAAAAAAAAGATTCAGTTGTTTATCTCTTAAAGCCTTCAGATAATAGTGCTTCCAAATTCATATTGAAGAAATATCGTTAAATCTGATTAAAATGAAAATCTGCATGTTTCGCTTCGTGCTGTTTTTTCGCTTGACTTTCATCCATAATCTGGCGAGAGCTTGTGTGTTAAATAGTGGTTTTCACTGAGCGAGCAACAAAATCATGAAGAGTGTTTCTGGCTTGTCAGACTCATAAGCTATAACAGTTTGCTTACCTGTCTCAAACATTCGTTTAATTCTCTGTGAATAGTTTCTTCGTCAAACATTTTACCCTGGTACCGATGTTCATAATAATCTGTTATACGCTGCCGTAAACTTCTCGGTAATTTACGATAGATCATATATTCTTCTACTTGTTTAAACTGAAATATACCAGAACGAGTGTTCAACTATATTTCGCTTGTTTTGACAGGCATACGGCGTTTTATTTTGCGGGTTATATAATAATATAGTTCACTTTGTTGCAAATTACTTGTTGGAAAAGATCGGATGTTTCGATAGCATTAAACTTCATATAGATTTTAATACTGTCATTCTTAGGATATTTACAAATGTTGAAGTTGAAAGTATAAAATTTATCTACCTTCTCATTATATAAACGTCTCGATGTATCAAAAGATTGAATCAATGTTGTGGTATGGGCCAAAAATAATGCATAGCAAGTTGCACCACTCAGCATACTTAATATAGTAAGCCAGGTATCAGACATATTTTGTGGCGGGAATCTCCCATAACCAATGCATAGCATGTGTGAAAGAGCCTTAAATAATGACCATGTATATTGTTCTGCCCAATGAGCATCCTGAAATGAAATAGTAATTCTGATTAATGTACTCAGATTAAACAATGAAATAAATCATGGCATCTTCAGTCGTCGCAGAGTAAAATGAATTTCACGTTGATTAAAAACAAATATTTCTGCATGTTTTTTAAAACGAAGCCAGTTATACGTATCAATGACTATTACCTTAAGATTCTTGTGTTTATATGTTCTACCCTTTTCTGGACCATACACCGGTGCCTAAATAACAGAATAAAGGGATACCGTTAATTAGAAGTGTTTTAAATTATATCGACGACTTCAACTGATAATAATTAACGGTATCACAGTTTTTCTATTATCTAAACACTAACTTACATATTATATGGCCGATAATTCGGATGGTGTGGTCAATGATGTCAATAATAAAATACATAATGATAACACTATGTTTTAAATCAAATCTGTGATACCGTTTTACCTACATTGGAATTACGTCAACTTCAAATGAATCAAAATCTGTAACGTTTTGAATTTCCAATATACATTCCAAATGTGGGGAAAATATATAAACTAATTGGGCGATTGAAATGTCATATGTCATACCACGTTCCATTCTGAATAATATCCGTGATATCAAAAATACCATTTTTTGGTATAAATTTTCCATTATTTTGGATGGCTTATAGCCTATTGAGACTTCTCGATTTTGAAGACGGTTTCAAAAAACCAAACGTTAAATATACAAACATAATACTTACTTGTAATTCTTCTATAGAAACCCAACAATCTTTGGGAAAATCTTGTAACATAGGTATCAAAAATTGTAAACATCCATTCCAATGACCCAGTAAAAACATCAAACATATCAAATTAAATATTCGCATAAATTTACCGGCTATTGCTAAAAACTGGAAATAGATAAAAGATAAAGTTGTCACTTTCACACAGGCTATACTATTTTTAACATTTATTAACGTTTCACATGCTCAAATGTTAGAAACAGTATATCTATATATAACTTGCGCTTATTTATATCTGCCTATTTCTATATGCCGGAAAATACAGTAGAAATATGTAAATATTAAGAACCAGATAATCTGACCATTCTGCATATTTAAAATTATATAAAAATGTATACACATACCTCCTCCCATTGCTGTACATATCTTACAAGTCTAGATAATCGAAGCAGTCTCAATAAACTGAGAAGTTTGACCAGTCGTAACATACGTAATGCTCTACCTATTTTAGTTAAATTATTTACATATTAAATTATAAATACTTCTACCATTAATTAAAGTGTCACATATAATATCAATAAAGATATTACCGTTAATTAAATGTGAATGCTTCAAATTTCAAACAGGCACATTCCAACCAAAGAATGAAGAAAATTAAAAATAATTCAAATCTGCAATTTAGCGACCGTTATAGTCTGATCCATGCAAATCCTATGTACTGTCTGCGGCAAAGCAAATGAATGTTATCTAAAATGAAACATTAAGTATATGGACAGCAATAACTGACAAAGAATACATAAAAGAAATTGCAAGAAAAGATAAAGAAAGAAGAAAAAAAGTAATAAGTAGCCAGCTAGGCGATCATTCAAAATATTTCCAAAATTCAATAACTGAAATCAAATAAAATGATTGTGCTTTATTTGAAATATCTCAAAAGAATTCAATCTATTTGCAAAAAAAACGCAGCAGACTACTTAAAAGAAATATCGCATCTCATAAAGCTTTACAAATAAATCAAAACCTATGCTTTTACAAATAAATCAAAACCTATGCTTTTACAAATAAATCAAAACCTATGCTTTTACAAATAAATCAAAACCTACGTCTTTACAAATAAATCAAAACATTTGCTTTTTTATGTTTTTACATTTTTACAAATAAATCAAAACCTATGCTTTTACAAATAAATCAAAACCTATGCTTTTACAAATAAATCAAAACCTACGTCTTTACAAATAAATCAAAACCTATGCTTAAATGTTGCAAAAAAATGAAATAACAAACATTATATTAGTGAAATGAATGTTTTAATTGTTAATATTAATTATTTATACATTTATGATTGAAATTATCAATAATTTAGTAGAAGTTTTAACTTTGAAAATGCGATATTTCTGAGTTTGGTTGTAGGTTATTATAGGAATTTTTAGGAATGAATCGAAATATTATTAGAAGAAGTCGGTTAAATCCACTTGGTAATCTAATGGGTCAAGTTCTACAAAGGAGGGTACATTTAAGGAACAGAGGTTGGTTAGATTAGGTTTTAGCCGAGAAAATACATTCAGAAAGTTCATGGGTGATGAAATTTATAAGATTCTAATATTGACAAATATATACTACACATGCTACAACACTTTATATTTTCATAGACGTCACAATTGATTATATACACATCAAAAACCCTTTCACCTTCCCAATAATTGTCACCCCTAAACCGAAAGAAACGTTAAGAATTTGTGTTGGTTTTGAACATAGCTACATCAATGCAACACTAGGCACAAATTTTCACTATCTTGTCAGCTTTTAGAAAACAACCAACACAAAATGAAGACACCTTCACACCAGTAGACTTATCGACCGTATTTTGGCAGTTAATGACCGGAATTGGTAACCATGCAAGAGTTTATGCATTTCAATCTTTCCTATAAAACATGCTAATATGAAAAATATTCAAAAGTGCATGGTGCAAAATTAAGACTATTTGCTAAGTGAGTGGAGGAGCGTGTGCTGATTTGGGATATAAACTACCATGGATTTGGGTTGGTCCGTGGCGAAAATACGTTTTTTTATCGTTATCTGATTGAAGTGAATATCTAACCAAGCACCAAGCTATTCTAATTCAATGTGTATGTAACACCATATCCTAAATAGATGTTAAAACACAAGGTTAATATTACACTTATATAGAAATGTAACAGATATTTTTGAATGATCACCTTGCCAGTACGGGGAAGAAGAGCCTCTTCTTGATCCCCTACCTGCATGGAACAACTGGCTAAAATCTGCTTCTGCGTCCCACATTAAAAATATATAATCCATTGGTATGGAACTTAAAAGATCTAAGAAGAACCAGGTTTTCATGTAATGTTTAGCTATCAGTTTTGGATCTAGAATAATCTCATCTGCGAAATCATTGAGAATAACACCTGGAAAGGAAGAACAAAACAGTTTTTTATCACAGAAAAACAAGTTATTATCTTTTTCCAATGCATTAGTTAAAAATTTGTGTTCAAACGATAATCTAATTTTGAGCTCAATATCTACAATTGCATTGGCTGGTATTTTTGAAAAGACATGCCAAGTTTACTCTCCCGATTATAATGTACTCAATCAGACTGAAGCATTACTGCGGGGAGGAAGGGGGAGGGGGGGGGGTGGTATGAGAATTAAGCATGCAACTTACCAGTTCTAAAGTTGATTATAATGTCTAAAAAGAAAACTGTATCAGATATACAATTAAAGACTATCCAGTGTGTACTAAGATCATCGTTGAAAAAAGAAATGGCAACCGGAAGGATTATCAAGTTCCCTATTAACAGCACCAACATGACCAGATCCCAATAAAACCTGAAAATAAAAAAAGTAAATTCGTTACGTTTTACAGCTTGCAGAGTAGAGCCACAGTGTCAGTTTGACCCTACTGCTTTTCGGCATAATCTTAATTCCTTGTATGACTCTATAGCGGGATTATGTGCCTATTACTTTGGTATGTTTGTAATACATATATCAACACCTAAAAGTAAAGATAAGACTGCTCCTTATAGTGAAATTGTTTTTTCGAAGCAAATGAAGTATTAACATAAATGAATGATATTACATATTACATTTTGTTGATCATTTATTTTAAACAACTGACATACCTATATACGAAATGGTGACATGCTTTTTCATTATTTTGAAGCCAGTGCCAATGGTCAATGTACATAATACTGCGTTTAGTTCTTATGATACTGTGGTCCTGGGTGTTATCATAAAAAGTGTATTGACTTTGGGTTTAGTTTATGAGAAATGGTGTCTGATAATTAAAAGACGCAATACGAAGTAAAGTAATAGCAAGTGAACATAATTGTGTCACTGTCACTGTATAAAATAACATAGAGTAATATGTGTAATGAATATCCCGCTATTTATCACATTACTATATCATTAACGTTACATGCCACTTTCAAATTGTTCAATTAATCAACAATAAATCCTTGACCTACAAACTGTGCTGTCCCTGGTGAACTATATTACGTGTGAAGGTTACTTTTCAGATGTAAAGATGAGGAACGACTTTTAAAATCAATATGAATTTCAGATAGCCATCGCATTATGAACTTCAAGAAAACAAATTTTATTGGCCGCTCATCCGCCGTTTAAATAGCTTCAGAACAGATGCAAAAAGCATGCTTATAAATATCACATATTATAATCATTAAAAAGAAAGAAGCTTGAACAGGTAACGCGCTACAAAAGGGAGTCTTCTGTGATTATATGTAAATCCCAGATAAGGTAAATGTAGCACCGTTCAGTTCTATACTGTTACAGATAAACAAAAGTCCACCACTTTTTACTCGGGAAACATTGCATTATCATCATATATATGTAAATATAACCATGAAACATATTTTTGCCGTCCTTTGTACGAGTTATTCTGTAGTCCTCTCATTTCTGGCGAGGATTTGTTCACTTCTGGAATAATTATTTGTATTAACAAGCAGTTCTGTCTAAACTGTTGTCCATCAACAATAGAATTCTATAATACCTATTTATGGATGGTTGGCAATTGTGTATAATACCCCCTTTAAAAAACGAGTAGACGGGCATGTTTTTAGATTGTGCAATCAAGTAAGAATTAATTTCTATTGATCAGTATTGATTTTGCGTGTTTTCTCTCCACCTTGTCTGAAACTAAATATATCAATACAGCCATGGAATCATTCTCATGCTGTTCATTTCTTTAATGATATTTTAGAATTTACAGTCAGTAACCTAAATGGTCAGCTTACTCTAACCACATGGTGGGAAAAGTACACGAATTTATGTATGTGATACTTTACTTGGCGAAAATTGTGTCCAGATATGCTCCCAAATCTCACATTAACTTATGAATAACTTGCAGAGATGTTTCATGAAAGCTACACTCTAATGAAGAAAAATGCATTGAAACATGCTGATTCAAGTCTGGCCTGTAACAGTTACGAGGGTTAGTAAATTTTCAGAAAGTTGTAAATTTATACAGGTTTAGATAATATTGATATTACCAAACATAACCGAGTTCAGAGACTATTGCATCCAGTAGACTAATATTGTTTCACGTTTAGTATTTGTTTTATCAGTAATAGTTTAATAGGTCACACACACACCCGTATATTTGCATTTAATGAAGTTCATTGGCCTTAAAAGTGTTTATAATATGAATTGTCGGAGTGGTTATTAGCAAAATGAACTTAGATATAATTAAAAAATATCAATAAACAAATTTCCGATTTGCAAATTATACTTAGCCTACTTGAACATAGAATCTGAGTATTTACATTTTCTCAAATTTGAGATAAAGACTTCCTTGATTATTTTGAACACAACATGTAAAGAACTATAATACTGCCTTAAAAACTGTCAAAAATAAAAGTATTACTAACAACACCTTTATATTCAACTAGTTAGCAAAACAAAGGATGAAGTCAAAGCTATCATCTAAAACTAGCATTAATGACAACAATGCATGATTATCTGGAATGTATTGACCTAGATCAGACCGTAACTCTTTATATCTCTAGTTATTGATATATAATAGAAATGTTAATTACTGAAATGATCGCTGCCAGATGTGCCTGAAATTGGTGTTAAATTTCTTAATTCAATGAAATGATTAGTTCTGGCACTAATAGAAACATCATCAGACAATTTCTCTAATCAGAACATTCCTCTTATTCTGATTTTCTAGATATTTCTGGTATTTTCCTGCTAAATGCTTTATTGATCGATTTTTTAACGATAACCTGGGGATTGCAATGAGCTTTCCAGTTTAATAAAGATCTCTACCAAGGAGCTGTAATAACCCAAATCAAAACAGTTAAGAGCAATACACTATTTTCAAGAACGTGTTTTAAACCGATTTGAATTGATAATAGTTGTATGAGACACATGTTAACCTGTGTTTGTCTGGGTGATTCTTGCCAGATGAATACAGACATAAAAAAATCATTAGATAAAGGTTAGAAGGACCATCGGTACCCACTCTCCATTCCTATGCACAATTGAATGCCACGAATTATTACCCCTTATTAAAAATTTAAAAAATACTGTAAGGCCTTTTAGGTTTTTGCTCACAGGAACCCCAGGTTAAGAAGCATGGTGTTAAAAGATTGGTCAGATTGCTTAACTGTTGAAATCTTTAACTAGTTAGTGATTGCAAATGTTATATAGTGATTTCCATCTGTCTAGGCGAGCTACGCCCAGTTTGTGGGTTCTTTTACTTTTAGGTGAGCTCATTCACCCAGTTGTTTTTAGTTACAGAAAAATATGGATTCAACATTATTTTTATTACGTGTTTGCCAATTCAAGCAGCGTAATCATAAATCAATTGTTAAACATATCATTCTAGTTTGCAATGTTGGCAAATTTCCACTTTAACCATTCAAAATCGTTATGAACTTTCTTTTCAAATCTACCCACATTCATCATCTAAATGATCAAAAATGCAATACTTTTTAAATCAATTTCCATTAGCAGTCCTTTATAAAGAAGGAAGAAATGCATTTGCAATAAAAGTTTATGTAATTTAAACCCTAGACTTTCATTAGCAGATAAAACACCACGAATATCGACTGATTTGCACCGGAACAACCGAGCTTGTCTATTCATATTAGGTAAGGAATACGTTTAGACTCAATGATTGGATAAATGAGATTGATCCGCAGACTCGATGACAGCAAGATGGAAGAGAACAGCGAATAATTATTGTTTTTGAGAATGCTAGAAAAGCGACAAGTTATAGAGGTACTGATAGCAAATCAACCGTATTTGTCTTTGTCTTGAGATAAAGGTGATCTGACGAAAAGGGAAACTGTAATCATTAACTCTTAAGATGAAATGAATTCCTGGGTCAAATGAAAGTATAAATAATCTTAGGGTACAATTCTCGTTCTTGCTAAATTTTCGTTCCTTATCCACTTGGGACATGGTTCTTAAGAACGTTTCCATTAATGACCTCAAATTTAGTTTGAATTTTCCAATACATCCAAAAACTGATAGTAATTGCGAATTTCATGCAACATTCCTATAGATAGACCTTTCTTCAACAAAAATTCAGCTTGTGAAGGATGCCACATCCGGCATTAAAAAGCTTCAATACAGATCAGACTATGGTCATTATTCATTTTTTGTCCCCATCTGATCAAATCCTTGAACTATTCTCATCTTTATTTAACAATAGAAACACACCGCCATTTTCTTTCTCAATTTAATTTGAGAAAAGTATTAGACCCACGATAAATTACATGGTAATTCACATTGAAAAGAAAATCTCCTCCATCTCCAAACATGCCACTTCTTTGATGGAAGCGATTCCTGAAAATTAGATTCCATTTATAGATTATTAACATGATTATAGAAGCTGGTCAATAACAATTAGGTTTCACCTTAATCCTTTTTCTTCATATTGTTGGTTTTCGCTACTTAGTATTCTTACCATTAAATGCCTCGGGTTTCCAGAGTCTCTTTCCTTTCCAATTATCAGGCTTTTCTGCGTTAGGTTTTGAATTCACGGCTCTGCACAATTTAAATTGTCTCCCTTTACATGTCTACGAAATTTTTCCTATTCTTTTTGCGTTAATGGTAGATATGTAAATGCCTTCCTGAGAGGTTTCGCAGCCTTTAAATGTGTATCCCGAGGGACTGAAAGCTACATCTCTGCATCGTTTTGCTTTAACTTATCATCTCAATTGGTAGACAATTACATTGTTGCCATTCATTGCACGAATCGCTTTTTGGGTTTCTCCTGTAGCCCATGTATTGGCATTTTGTTTGGATTCGTACTAATCCTTTGCATACTGTATTGCTCTTGTGCTCTTCTGCTTTTTCGGACAATTGATACTGTACTGATTAATCGGATCCTCATGATCTCGCTTCTATGAATTTTGAGTAATGTTGTGTCCACATAGATTCCTTTCACTATTTATATTAGAAATCACATAATGTTATGAATTAAAATTTCCATCTGCATATTCGGTCTGTTACAAACTGTCAATTGTAAATTATTGTAATTATATCTTCATAATATCCCTAATTATTTTAAAGAACAAAAGGCAAAAAAGTATACGATTTTTCTGTGGTAAAATATGCTCAAGGCTTCGACCAAAAATAGCCGTAAACATGACAATTGTGATATTATTTGTTGAGAAACCAGCGAAAGAAAAAGAAATGAATGCATGGAAAAACCTCAAGATTTTAACAAGACGGAAAGTTTTCCTCATAAACAGTTAATGTACTGATCGATCCACTCAGCACTTAATGGTGTGAAACCATGTAAAGTTAGGTTACTAAGTTTGTGAATGAAAAGAAAGGCAAACTTCAGCTTTACA